ATGACGTTAAATGTTTCAACGATGAACCATGTACTTTAAAATGTTGTGGGCCAGCCTGAGCCCCGAGTCGCAAGAGCGGGGTGGGATAGAAACTTCAACATAAAAAATAAAATTAAAAGTCAAGGGCATGGGCAGCTGACAGTCTTGGGCTGTGGGCATACTGTGATGAAAAATGAAGAATCCAACCACCCGAGAACATGCCAGCAGTGACAAAAGCAACAAAACTGACGGAGGGACAGACCTAGGTATTCGAAAGCTTCTAGGAAACTAGAGGACATCAGACAACCCATGCCGGACGTATGAAGCTTAGAGGGAGATCAGCTACGGTGCCAGGGATGGGGGGGGGGAAACACTCGCTCCATGCAGGCAATAGAGGGATCAGCTCCAACCAGATGCAAGATTTTATTGTGAGTGGAACCCAGAAGCCCTCAAGTTATAGGGGCAAAACACACAAGGGAGGTCTATTGGTCTTAGGGTTAGATCAGTGGTACTCCACAGCTCGCAGAGAGCCACATCTGCAGTTGCCATCAACTAAGAAGAGCCATCTAGGAAAAGGAAACTAGAGGACATGAGACAACCCATGCTGGACGTATGAAGCTTAGAGGGGGATCAGCTACGGTGCCAGGGATGGGGGAGAAACACTCGCTCCATGCAGGCAATAGAGGGATCAGCTCCAACCAGATGCAAGCTTTTATTATTATTACCCAGAAGCCCTCAAGTTATAGAGGCAAAACACACAAGGAAGGTCTATTGGTCTTAGGGTTAGATCAGTGGTACTCCACAGCTCGCAGAGAGCCACATCTGCAGTTGCCATCAACTAAGAGCCACATTTATTCCCATCTTTGGGATGACGCGTACACCTTGAGGTTTGCAGCTTACCTCTAGGAACCACCTGTCAACCACAAGCCCCTCTGGGCCTTGCCCACTTTTCTGAAACATGGGGCAAGTGCCACAAAGGGTAACAGCGCCCAGCGGAGCCATAGGTGGCTCCTGAGCCACTGGGTAGATGATCCTCAGTGTTCAGTGATGACCGCAATGGTGGAAAGTCAGTCTGCTGGTCTTCTAGAACATACTGTCAGATTATCCGATACAGATATATTGCAGTTGTACCATTTTTGTGTGTTGTGACCATTAAAGAAGAATGTTAAGCACTTTTGAGCTATATGATTTTATCTGAATATTTCCTTACTTTGGTATGTATGATTGCCTGTTTGAATGCTTTTTTTACTTATACTTTGTGTAGTTAAAAGGTTCTTGTTGTTAAATTGTTGTAAAGGTTCTTATCTGCTCCTCAACCTTTTTTGGCTTATTTTTCCAGTTGAAAGCACCTCAAGGTCCTTCGTGAAGCACCAGGAATTGAGTCCTACTCAGCACCAAGACAACAGAAAGCACAGCTCTTCATGGGTGTCGTGCAAAAAAGGCAGTGTTAAGAGTGCTACCTTGTAATACCACATTCTAAGCAGAGGATTATAATAATCTGTAGATTAGATGTTATACAAAACACAGAACACCATAAATAGCAGTCACTTGCAATGAGGGGATCACTGCAACATACACAGAGATATCTTTGTTTCTGTGCCTTTCTTTGGTTAAATTAGGCAGCAATTTCCATGGCCATTCATTGAAATCCATGAAGAGTTCCACAATTTCCTGCCTTTGCAACAGAAGATCTATCTTAAGGGAAATACTGCAGACGGTGAGCAACAAATCTATATCGCACTGTGTGAAGGGAGAGTGGAATGGTGGTGGATCAGCAGCTTGTAGCAGTGAGCCGTCCCATCTCAGAGTGGAGTGGGGCAGGCAGAAAAATCAAATTCCGGACCAAGCACATTGGCAGAAGGGCCTAGCAAAGGGAACAGTTGGGAAAGCATAACCCAGGGACTTGAGACAACAGTGGGCCAAGAGCCATGCATTCTGAGTCTGTTGCCCTGTAGAATATGGCAAGACCAGAGGAAGAAGCTGGAGAGAACAAAAGCTACAAGAGGAAAAGCCCAGAGGAGAATCACAAATAATTGCCAGCCAGCTGTAGGAGTGAGATTGCCAAATGATTTGAAATAACCAGTCAAGTCTTTGCAGCAGGCTGATGGTGCTTATTATTGAGGGGCTTTCTGCATAAGTGTACAGGGAACAATTCATGCAGATCCAGACAGCCATCGAACTACCCTACACTACAGCAAAACAGACACTGCAGTCTGCTGTGAGAATTATACAGACATTCTTTAACATGCTCAAGTAGGATAGCCAAAGAAAGGCAAATGAAAGATGGAGCAATGGCTGTTGCTTACGGCTTCATATACTTCCCAGGTAACAAAATATGGCAAAATTAAATTAGGCAAGAACACCTATTCTTTCTACATTACATAGGGAATATAAAACAATTATGTGGTGGGACAGGTAGATATTAATCTAATTTACTAAGCTTCTTGGACAATGCTACACAGGGGAGGTAATTTTTCTGTTCAAACCAGTTGTTGTTGTTCAGTCGCACAGTTAATCTAATTTACTAAGCTTCTTGGACAATGCTACACAGTGGAGGTAATTTTTCTGTTCAAACCAGTAGAGGAGGTCAATTTGAATGGGAGGCTCTGTCAAGGAACTGGCTTTGCTTAGCAATTTCTTGGCTTTTAAAGTCTTCGGTTCGAGCTTTTGGTCCTAGTGAAAGTTGCAGAAGGCCCCTCTCTGGGATGACTTGCTGTTATGAGGGGATACAATGGACACAGGGTCAAGCGAGATCATCATGGGAGCTTCAAGGCAGAGACCAAGGAGTTTGGCACTCACGTTCCATCATATTAGCATAAGCAACCCTGGGTGGAGGGCAAGTCATGTGACTGTGAGCCTGTACCACCCACAGACGTATGTGGTCCTGTGTCTTCACAACACATCCGATTGGTCAAACAGAACCAGACCAGCAGCAGGCAGTCCAGCACAAAGTGAGATTGCTCATTCTAGTATGTACCTTTTGGTTTTACCTTTGGGTCCTCCCTTTTGACCAGGGTGGGCCTTGCTTGACCAGAATACTTGTTCTTGGATTTTGAAACTTTACCTGGACTCTTGTGCCTTCAGTCTGGCCAGGTAACACCTGGGTCAGAGGACCAAAGCCTGTATTAGTATGTAAGTTACCTTAGATTTTATTATTTTTTTCCTTGTTTTCCACTGCTCTTATATTTCTATATGTTATTATTTGTACCTTTTAGAAAGCTGTATTAATTATATTTCTGTGCTGCTTGGGTTTTGGTGCTTCAATCTTAACCCAGCACCTTGGCCTACATTGGCTACAGCTACCAAACTTATTGTTTCGGGGACTCAGTTTACAAGTGTCCCACCCTGTGGGGCTGACTTCTGGATGAACTCTGTCCCTTGGTCTCTTAGCTGGAGGACTAGCAAAGGGGCTGGTGGTGGCTCATTACCCTGGGCACTGGGGATTCACTCTCCAGGCTCTGTGTACTTGTCCCACATGCCCAGAACTTTCTACAGCAAAGACAGGAGCTTCTAACTTCAAATTGGCTATTAAATCCATACACAAAACTGCCTTGCCCATTTGTCTTATGCTCAAAGTTCTACTCAAGATAGCTGATGTTTTTGAGTAAGGAGCCCCGCTAAACAACAGCTGAAGCAGCAAATGCTCCAACATCTATACCAACCCCCTGCTCTCATCCACACAAAATGTAATGCAACTCTCAACAGTTTTGGCCCAGCACACAAGATACCACACAATCCCTTCTTCTCTCATCTCAGATATTCACCAAGGCCACCCTTTGACATTCTGGACAAATGATTTCCAACTAAGGAACTGTTTTCCATTACAGACTAAAGAAAGCCCAAGTACCTTTTGGAAGGACTGTTGGGCACAGCTACCCTGGCCACCTTTGGAGGCTCAGCATTAACTCCGTGACAAGTGGGGAAATCAAATGCCTGCATTGCCCACACAGAACCTTTGGGATTGGAAAGGCAAAATGGAAGAGACATACTACAGTACCAAGCTAAGGCTAAACTGTCGCATTACAAAGGCTTCCGGAAGTATGTACAATTATCTATTCTGATGTGTCTTTTCACTCTGCACACTTTAGAAATCTGATATTCTTCAGTCATTATAATCAACTAAAATTCATTCCTTTCTTAGCAGCCATGCTCTGTGTCACAGGCCATCCAAATAGCCAATCCACCAAACTCTGCCACCTGGACCTATCCACTTGCAACTTGATTTTGAGGAATAATTTTGGGTAGCATCAATGAAAAAAATGATTTTAATTAATATTTAAAGTCACAGAAAGACCATGATCCTAAAAGTATTTTGAAGCCCCATTAAAAGGTACAGGATGTATTTCTCCAGGTCTGTCGGCAACCCTGAATAAGAGTGCCTTACACTGGGGACACATCCCTCTTCCACCAGTGGAGTGCTCCAGTGTTAGTGGAATAGAGAAACTGGTCCAAGCCTTTATAGCCAATTTAACTTTGGCTAAAAGAGATTTAGGCTGCAAGCATTCCCTGGGAATGAAGCATACGACATTACATGGGACATACTTCTGAGCAGAACTACTCAGGACCAATGTTCCCTCTAAGCTGTGGAGTCTTGTGAGCAAAAATTCTGCTTTGTGAGCTGCTGGCATTAAAGTTGTGAACAAGAGATTTGGCTACTACATAAATTAGTCTGCTCTGGAGCCCTCCTTCCTGAGCTAAGACAAAAATGTGTGAGCCGGAGGCTGAAAAACTGTGAGCTAGCTCACACTAACTCAGCTTAGAGGGAACACTGCTCAGGACTGCTCCTTACAACCTAATTTAGGTGCACATTAAAGAGTCTTCCATGATAGGAAAAACAGTTTCTCTCTCTCACTAAAAATAAGTGACTTCTCTGCAAGTATCACATGACTAACCAGCATAAGCTGTTGTTTAATTTCACCATATTTTGAAGGGGAAACTTGGAAGTAGTGTTGTTTTAGATTGTATGTAGGAGCCAGAGAAAATACAAATGCTGCAGAACAATACTAAAGTCAACTGCAAGGTGGAGTTTATTTTTAAATTCAATTTGTAAAGGTCCCTTTGGAAACAAAAACATGTAACACAAGTTAAACGCACACCTGGTTTGCCTTTAGTTCAACATTTTCTTTACCCAGCTTAACTTTACAAAAACAAAAAGCACAAAAATAACATTAGAAAAGTTTTGCAGTGCACGTGTTATGGATTCTGCTTGTACAATTTATGCAACTTTTAAACAATGTATTCCCACTAAACTCGGCTTGAAAACAAAACAAAACCCAGCCCCTCTTTTTTTTAGGCTGGGCATACACAGTATTAAATTTCCTTAAACAAGAACGCAGTATATGCATACAATAAAAGGTAAAGCTGAAATATATTGACCAGACAAACATTTCAACAAGCAACAGTATTTGTAATTCACATACACAGTAAAACACAATGCCAACATGCCATTCTGTGAGCTATGGTAAAATAGCGTGAATATCTGTAAAGCAAAAAATCAAAACGCCCCAAGCTCTTCCTTCAGTAGAACATAGAAAACCCACTTCCCCAATTTTCTGCTACAAGAAAGTTGGCGTTTCCCCCCCCTAAATAGGACAGATTGCCACCTAGCTGTAACTTTAAAGAGAAGCATCTAAAGAACTATCCAATTGTTACTGCATTTTGAGCATTAAATATATGGGACAGCTTACAAGAAAATCTACTTTTTTTCCCCTTCAAGAAATAAGCAAATTAGGAAATGTCTGCTGTCACTGCCACTCCTTGCATTGTCACAGCTGGTGTGCACATGACTTACCATAGCCTCAACAGAAAGCCTTGAGAATTTGTACGTTGCTAATATCCAAAACCAACCTCTTCCTACAAAGTTTAGTTTTAACAGAGGCTTAATGAAAGTGAACACAGTTTTCTAGGGTACAGTGTCTATAGCTTAGAAATAAAAAAAGTACAAAATTAGAACTTGTCATAAAAAAGACCAAACATTCCATTGTAAAAAGCACCTATTCACATAACTATTGAACCCCGTGCATGCAAACTAGAAGCATAAGGCTGTCAAGTGGCAAATTCTCTTAACAATGTGTAAAAAACTGTTACTTGCTACATCCTTCAGATATTTCCTCCCATATTATATTGTTTAGTAGAAGTAGTTTCCCAAAATATGTTTGACATCCACAAAATGTAGATTTGACAGCTTTAGGAACCATGATAAAGATACATTGTACCTAAGACAGTATTGTCGTACTTCTGTGCCACTTTAACAGAATTGGAATGCTCAACAACACTGCTAAGTTCAGGAATGCTTTCAGCAGTATCGCCAAAACCATGATAATGCCCATAGTGCAATGTATCTCCAAGGTCCTCCAGCCACGAAGGCCTACTTGACACAAGACTACTTGGGCTTCCATTCAGATGCAAAGAACCGCACATATCGGAAGTATTTATAATTTTTTCTGGTTCCTCAATGCCATTAACAACATTAATTGTACGCTTATTGGCAGAGACTACTTCGTTAGGTACTATCAATGTTAAGCATTCTTCACGCCTGGCACTCAATCCATTGAGCTGTGCTGGGGAGCTGAAGTCCAACTGTCCATTGATGAAATATCCATTTGTCAATGCATTCAATATGGAGTTACTGCAGTTCGTATCTGCATTAAGAAATAGACCTGTCACCATAAATTGACTCAAAAGATAAAAACTGTCTCCAATATACCACACTTTTTATTAAGAATTTTATAAATTAACATCAAAACAAATTATCCCAAAACAGATCCCACGATTTAGGCCTTGTAATCAGTTTACTAAGTCACCCTCGAAACAAGACCTTTGTGCTTAATGTGCTAAAAAAGAAATATTACAAATCAAATTGCTATATACAGTGTAAATATTATCTTTAAATTTATAAAGCACTTCCCACATAAATATACTTAAACTGATTAAGTATGAAGGTCACTCTACTCCCACAGCAATTTTGGAGTAAGCCCCACTGAACGTAGTGGGATTCTCTCCTGAGTAAAGATGCTGAAGATCAGCTTGTAAGCACATTTTCTAAGTTATAATATGAATTAGATCATAAAAGTCTCAGTTTATTTTGGAAAATCCAGCAAAGCCAGTGTTAGATATATTTCTAAATGTAAGAAATAGAATGTACATGATTTAATATCATCAACAGAATGTAGCCTTGTGAATAGGCTGACATTTCAGAGCAGTAAGGGTTATGCCGATACTAATTTTGTTGGATTTCAGATGAACATGCGCTTAGGCAGGCCCTGTAAAAAAGTGTTATGTGAAAGTGAGAATGTTTATGCCAAGTGCCATCGACTGAATTCATATTACCTTTTTATTTAAAGCACAGCAATGGAGAATAAATCCATGTTCTTCCTTAAAGAATTTAGGAACTTTACTTTGTGAATTTACACAATCCATTTGCAAAAATGCCAGAAATAGTAAGTGGGAAATGACTGGAGTATTGTGAAAAAGAATTAAAAAATCCCAAAGAGGTCAATGGTCTTCAGTTGCAGAAATTAATGCAATAATTAGTCCTCCCCCCAAAAAACAATATTTCACTGGTAATATTTTCCTAAACATAAGGACTTGTATGCAACATGACTAGAAGCAGTAGCAAGGCCATAAAAGTATTGTTCTGACACTAAAAGTAACTTGCATAACTTTGGTATGCTGAAATATTCTAACTTGCAGAGAAGAATAGCCAGGTCTGTTTAGCAAGGCAGGATTTTACATTAATGTCTAGAATTCTCTGGGTCCAGGTAAATATGGAATACAGACATCTATGTACAAATGAAGGATATTTTTGCTTCATATCTCAGTGCAGCATTTTGGCAAAATACCTAATCCCTTTTCACCTCAAATATCTGATACACTAAAATATACAGCAGAGGTACCACAATTAATCTGATATGCCATTATTTTATTTTTCTATTTAAAGAGTCGTCGGCTTATATCAGACATCACACAAAGCCATGCTCTGATTTGCCTAAAAATGGGTAGCTTAACAGTCTGCATTCAGCCTGTCCCACTGAACATGGTTAGTCAGTCACCCAACCAGGACCTGAAGTTGGTTCATTAACCACAGCCAGGCTGGACACCTTATTTGTGCACGACATCTGAATAGAGATATCAAGATTTAATCCTGGCTTGGTCCACATCACCACTCTCACACACTCCCTAGGCTACAGAAACAACCGGCAAGGAAAGCTCAACATCTAAGCCTCTCACCAGCATTCACATGCTCAGCTGCTACGCTCCGTCCTCTTAAAGTCCCAGGAATGCTGGCACAGGCCTTCCTTAGATGCAGTTAAACTAAAGCAGCATGAAAGGCGGCTGTGCTTGCTTAACAGTCCAAATTATTTCACACTAACAGGGCAAGTCTGGGAGGGGAGTCAACCACCCACTCCGACTTCTTGTCTTGCTGCTGCTGGGGTACAAGACTAGGTCTCCCAGCTTGTGGTAAGGATGGTCTGGGAAGCATGTCATCCCCGCAGAACAAGTAGGTACTCACCTACTTGTTCTGCATGCTTGTGTGTTTAACTTAATTTGATGTGAGGAAAGGGTTAAAGCTCAAACCCATACAGAAAGGAACTGTTCTTCCTATTGGCCAGTGTTATCGGGAGGTATAAATTCAAAGGGCGGATGCAAAGCTTTCCTTCATGCTGTCAAAGCATGAGGTGCTTTTAGGTGGTGAGGGAAGAGAGTGAAAATGCTTAAACTAGGATATGTCAAGTGAGGACTGAACCAAATACTGGTTTCACAAACTAACCATAATCAAAGTAAATCATGGCTTCAAGCTGATTCTGAACTGAGCCACTAAATATAATGGCAATAGAGCATGTCAATTTTTATAACTTAGTCCTAGTTTATTGGGAAAACACTCAGTTGAACTGTGAAAGACGTAATAAAGTGCACTATTATGATTGGTAAGTGGAATAGCCTACTGAAAAAGAAGGTAGCTGTTACCTCCTTATTAAAGTCTTTGTATAGTTCCAGAGTCATGCACTTTATTGAAAGGCAGGGTATTTCTCATGAGTGCAATGGTAAATGTTGAAATTATAAAAGACGCCACAGTATAAAAAGTTAACATTAGTTTCCAATTTCAAAATAGTATTAACATTGGATTTTCCTCCCTTTCCCTTTCGTACTGTAATGGCTATGTCATCCCAATCTACGCTAATGCTGCTGTGTACAACAACAGATTTCAAGGTGTTTTTCTAACACACCAAGACAAGGCCTTTAAAATGTAGCTATGGAGACCAGGCAACTTGTGCTGATGCAGAATTTGGGTAAAGTGCAAAAGGCCCCCAAAGTCTTGCATGGAGTTCGCCTCTAGAGTAATGCAACTTCCCCCCATTCCATTCCAAGGGAGGGGGAGGCAACTCTGCACAGACAACACTCTGCCAACATCGAGCTGCTTTCTCCAGTTCAGTGAACAGGAAGCTCCTACGGGGCAGGGGAGAGTTCAATGTGCTCGCAGAGGCCTCCTTGATCTGGGAAAATTTACATACCCTGGCAGATGATACTTACAACCATTATTAACTAATGTGGATAGGTTCCCCCCCCCCCCAATGGTATTTTAGTTTTAAATGGAACCCACAAACCTAAAGCATCAGTACAAACGAATGATAGATCCAAAGGGATATATTGTTTTTAAGCACACACACTGATGTTGGAGCAGAGTTTGTACATTTGTTGAGCTAGCTTTAGCAATATCATGGCCAGGCAGGACTACTATGAGGGCAGTAAGGTTTTTTTTTTTATAATAAATTGTCACAACCATGAATTCTCTTTGAAGAAGCAAGCACGATCAACTATGATCAAGGCACATGGCATGCAGACCTTTAACTGAAGTGGAGCAACCACTAGCTGTCTAAACAGATCTATAATCAACAGTTTCCTTGATCCTTGCTATATCCTCTACAAAACTGCCAGTGTGGATTGCTAGTTAAAAGTCTTATTATAGTTATTTTCAGCAATACAATAGTTTAAGACTTTGGGACACTGGAAGTTATCAGATTAAATTAGAGATAGAATGCATATTGATTCTTGCAACGGCAAGGAGTTTGCATTGCAGAAACTGTGTAAATTTCAATCTCTTTGGGTCCAACAGAACCACTCTTCTGTTTGGTATCTTCAACGGTTTGAATGTTGTGGTGGTTAACAGGCAACTCTCCACTCCCACCTGGTATCACAGCAAACTCTCTATCAACATGCATATTGTCAGCATCATCTTCATGTCCTCCGTTTGTCATCGGTATTAAGCCATCAATATTTTGACCTGTTAAAACAGATTGTTTAGAATATTTCATATTTAATTATGAGAAATTTTAAGACTATATTCTGAAAGTGGTACTACTGCATTTTTGGATACAAATTTAATTCAAAAATCGTTCATAAAAAATGCCAGCTATTTCATTAAGAAGAACAGGATGGAACAGGAAACCTTTCTATCCTTTCCCTGGATTTAACAGCCTAAAGGCCGTGCAGCCTTAAAATAAACTCTGGTTGTCAGATGTACCGAAATTATATGGCAAAATAGAGTAGCGTTCACCATGCAATTTTTTGATTTCCAGAAATATAGGCATTTCAATTTCTGAACACTGGGAATGCTTGCCAAGCATCTGACCCAGGGAATAATATATTTATCACAGGACTTTTAAAACTAGCAATGATATTAAGAAAAGTATGAAATATGCAGTCTGGTAGATGAGAACAAAAAACACACCTGCAGTTTTCTGAAGGAATATTTTTGAATTGTCCCATCATTTCAGCTGAGCTAAAGGCATTACATCGCCCTAACATACCTGTATATGCTTGTCTAAACTTAGGACTTGCCTAACAATAAAAATAAGACTGGAGAGTAAAAGCATCCTTAAACACAATGCCATAATGTTGAGGAGAGCATTTATGTTTAGCACCAGTAATTAACAAACCCCAGTCTCTAAAAAAAAAATTCCTAGGTGAGCATAAACATTTTATTTGGCAAAGGTTTCCTTATTAAAACTGGCTTTGTAAACAGGGAGCCAAATTTTAAATAAACTACCTTGAACCAGTATAAAGAAGAAAAAGCAATTATAACTCAATGAAGATGAGGTAATTAATCCAGATCAGCAAGGCGAATTCTGAATTTAAAATTTTTTATCCAGGCTCGAGCGGAAACTTAAGGAAGGCCGAGTTCTATCACCGACAAGGTGATATAGACAGGAAACTAAACTTTGCGCAGTTGTGAGCAGTTGTGATCTTGTGGTTTTTGCTATGAAATCATCTCAACTCCATGGGGGAGGGTGTGCTTCATGGAACAGTTAACTACATGAAGTTGCACACCCACTTGGTTTGTAATGAATTTAAGAGCTACTTGTGTGATCTACGATAGCTATTCCACACACACAGAGTACCACAGGATTTTAATGTATTAAAGGATAAACGGGTGAACTCATCCTTTCTGTTAGCTACTTCCCCTCAGCACTGGAAGTGACAACACACTGTGGTGTAAAGGAGGGAAGATATTCTGTCTAGTAGTATGGTATCACCAGCACTGCTTAGGCACATTTGCTATGCCACTTGTGTTGATCCTGCTATTCCCTCTTACAGCAATCAGCATTGTGATAAGCCAGGTTCTACCTATGGACTGCAAATGATAGGGGAACAGACTCAGCATCCCTTGCAATTCTGGAAGCATCCTTATTTCCGAGGATGCATGCCTAGGCACATACTAAGTGATTTACACTGCTGTTCTAAAGAGAGTTACACCCTTCAAAGTCCACTGACTTCAATTGACTTAGAAGGGTGTAACTCTGCTTACATTTGCACTGCAAGAGAATGCACTGTGACCCCTCCAGGTACAAGCTCAATCATAGATTTAGCCATGAACTCAAGGGTGGCATAAGGCAAGTCATCCTCTCTGAATCCTAGCCAGTTCTCCCAGTAACATGAGACTACTATTGGTTTCAAGGCTACTTTAAGTTCTTCTACACAAACTGGAATATACAAATCAAGATGGGTAGTTGTGTGGGCCTGTCCGTAAAGAATCTCTTGTCCACTAGCACCTTAAAGACTAACAAAATCTGTGGTAGGATATTAGGTTTCATGAGCCACTGTTCTTCAGATATCTGAAAAAGTGAGCAGTGACTCACAAAAGCTCATACCCTACCATAAGTTTTATTAGTCTTTAAGGTGCTACTGGACTCTTACTCTTGTCTACTGGAATACACAAGAAAGCTACATAAATAATAAAAAGTATTATTACTGAACTGGTTTAAAGCCAGCGAATCATAGTTTAAAAGGTTATGATTTACAATACACTTACTTGAAATAAATCCCAATGTATTACACTAGACACTTGCATCTAAATGTCACTCTTAAAATGCACATTTATAAGGAAGCGTATTTAGAAACTGTAAAACATCTTTCTCAATAACAGAAACATAAGAAGGCCAATACCTATTAAGTATAAAACCAGTATTATCTAATATTTAATTTATCTTACTGTTTTCCCTTAGTATCAGGGACCCAGTGCCTTACCTTCAGTCCTAGCTTTCTTTATTCCAGCACTCTCCATATCTTCAAAAGATCGTTTCCGACTTGTGCCTTTACTGAGTAGATGGGGGCTGGTATTCTGGTGGAACCCATTTAAGGTGCCATTGCTATAGAAATGGTTCAGCGGGCAGTTCTGGAGATTCAAGAGCAACTGAGCACATTCCTGGAAGCCCTGGGCATGTGCAAGATCTGCTGCTGTCAGGCCACTGGCATTTCTCAAGCTGTACAATACAAATATACTGAATTATACCCCATAATAAAAACGACTAGGCTGCTGCTGCTGCTGATTTTACTAATTCAGAAGATGATGAGAGAGAACTTTGCAACTCCCCATTAAGGGTTTTTAAGTTATCAAATGTTAATTATAAAATTCTCTTAGCACATAACTGTATTCTAAGCAAGATTTGGGAAACAGTACAATTAAGAATAATTATGTGCCATAAAAATGTAAAAGCTTCCTATTTAACTGCTAAAGTTTCTTGCCTGCAGTCTGAAGCATCTGAACTTTACAAAAAACTCCAGACTTCTGATGCAAGTCCTGTCTTTTACTATTTAATTTGATAAAAGGAATAATCTAAAAGAAAATAAATATCCAAAACAATATTTACAGAACTTAATAGTTGTCTATGGCATTTGAGAATCTAACACCAAAAAATACATCACTATTGCTCTTTACAATAAGTAGGTATGCATGTGTAATCAATTATTTACATATGTATCACATACATTATTTTCCTACTAATGTTCTTTATTAAACTCAGTTCTTATTTCAAAATATGTGACATCATAAATGGATTATTCACTATTTCAACATATGATTATTCCTTGGCAAAGATGTACCATTAGACTTTGAGCTTATGAAACAGAAACAAAGACATTTAAAGTTGAAGAATTTTGTATTTCTATTCACTACAAAAACCATATATATGGCTTCTAAATATGAACACTAAAGGGTAAAGTGTTATCATAACAGAAGTAAAACAGCTAGCAATAGCAAAAGAGAAAATGGCTACCACATACAGAAAAGAGAAGATTGTAATTGAGAACTGATGTATTTACTTATGTATCATGAAACAAGAAACAATGCCTATTACTGTGAATAAGCAAATGGACCAATGAAGCAAGCATTTAAGAATTGCAGCTAATTTTTTTTTAGCTCTGCTTGATGTGACTAAGTAAACATCTGTTCTAACTCATCCAAGAAATAAATAAGCAGTATTAGCAACAATTTTAATTGAGAGCTGTCTACTTGATTATTTGATTGACGGGTTCTAGGATGTTTACAAATTTGCGTTCTCTTAGCAACAGAAGCTGGCATATTCAGTTTACTCGAGGTTTTTGCTGAAAAACAAGCGGAAAAGCAATTCAGCTGAACATCTGTTTGGAGGCCCAAGAAGTTAATATATCATTGAGTAAACTTTTTAAAAACAATTTTAAAAAACCTGGACAACAATCATGGGTAGAGAATCGGTATACGGTTCAAGACAACACCTTTCCCCTGATTGTAAGCTACTTAGTCACCTGGGGACCCTGTCAGGTACTACGCTGATCATCCCCGAGGCACCGATCTGCGTCTGAAGAGGACAGATGCTGGTAGCCCCTGAAAGCTTTAAATTAAACAAAGAACAGGGCGAAGTCGCATACAAGGGGAAAAAAACTGCCAGATGATACAAAAAAGTTGTAACAAATAATGACGAACACCAAAGTCTCAGGATGTATTTGTGACAAGTCAGAGCACAGAAGTGCATCCAGAGACAAAGCAGCAAATTAGAGCAGTGCTCTGAATCAGCTAATCGGAGCTATACTGGGAAAAGTTAAGCAACTGACCAGAAGGAGGTTGAGTGTCTAAAGAAGTCAGGTTTTAAAGGTTGGGAGAGAAGGATTATGTCTAACAAGAGTGTTAAAGATATGAGACCACAGATCTTTGGATTAGATTTCCTTGCTGAGGGAAAGGAGTATACTGAGGTGTTTCAGGAGGTTAATAGGGTTGGCTGAGCCTGATGTTTAACTCAGGTACAGCAGAGTGCTGGGGGATGGGTTATAAACCTGCCCGAGACTGTTTTCCTGACTTATCCTACAACGCCTGGTTAAGTGTTAATATTTACCTCAGGGGTTTTTTCCTCAAAGAAACTTGGTCTTCACTTTGGGGGGAAAAGAGATATCTCATGCCTGTCAATTTTACCTCAGTTATCAATCCAGGCTTGGGTGAATTATACTCAGGCTCACATTCTATCCCCTTGAATCCATTTTTTCCCCTCCCTCATAGGAGGGAAATTGTATTGTGACAGGAAAGAAAATTCCTGTGGGATGGCAGCTTAGTGGTTATCTCCTAGGAAGTATGTTGCTATATTCTTACAGGAAAGCAAAATTTGAGCTACCATATCTATGGCCCTCTATGCATCTCTTAAGCCTATAAAAGGCAAACCCCCAAGTAGACACTGACCTTCTTAAAGAATCAAAATTAATTTTTTAAGAATGCTAAATTGTAGGAATTTAATTAAAGGCAGTTGTCCTGTTAAAGGGATGCAACAAAAGAGAGGGAACATATCAATGATTTGGAGTCACAAGGAAGAGACACGTAATGCTATTTCTTGGAGGAAATAGGTGGAGAAAGAAGAAAAGCAAATCGAATTTTCAGAAGAAATGTGCTCAGTTTCCGCACAACACACTAAGCAAAACCTTTCTAAATCAAGACAGTGCAACAAAGCTAAAGAAGCCCTTCTGCAAAAACTCCCTTTTCTTAACCACATCAAGACTTTCTTATTTTCTACTAAGAATGGAATACCTAATGCAAGAAAAAGGTTAGTTGAAACTTAGTATTTACTAATTTTTTAAAAATGGTATTCAATAAGACTCTGTAAGAAGGTCTTCAAGGAGAGAATGGTACAGAAGCTATTTTTCATGAAATCTGAAAGCTCTGATTTCAGACTTACACCAAAGATGACAAAGTAAAGAGATGGCACAATATTGTAAGTTATTACCTGTGTAAGCTTTACTGCATTATTAAAAATTAATTAAAACAACCATTTAGTAATGTCAATGTAACAAAGGTATACACTTCCACAATAAATTCAGTGTACCAATCCTTGAAACCTACTAAAAACCATGACTACGTTAGAAGAATTAAGATCTGCTTTTGATTCAAATTAAGGACATTTGACAAATTGTCCTGCCAAGATTGCTTGAACTAAATCTCAGATAAGGTTTCCTAAGTAAGGTTTTGCATAAAGGTAATCTAAGCTTTATATTCCTATAGAAAAGAAGGGGTCCAGAGACAGAACTAATCAGGTATAACATTCCTCAAAGGACTGAATTCTGTTTTAATTGGGGAAAAAGCTAAAAAACATGTCCTATCAAAGTTTTGCAGCTCATCTAACCATGTCAAGGAGATGTACAATGAATGTGCATGACTGCTGAGAAGTCATTTGTTAGCTTCTACAGGAGTTCTGTGACAAAGAAAGATGCTGTACACTGGTGAACTAGAAAAATAACTACAGATGTGTGCAGAATACCTCCTTAAAATGTATTCTACTAATAATGACTTCTACTGCCATAAAAATAAATTATGCACATGGAGAAGAGAATACTGCCATAAAACACAGCTATACTCAAAGATGATCTCATACTTTTAAATATAGTTGACAAAGTTTGGTGGCGGGAGGGGGAGGACAGGCGAAATAACTGTTCACATGAAAGTATTTGTGTATATAACACGAAGCGTTTGTGGGAGAGGGCAAGATAATCCTTGCTACTGAGAGATCAGCTGGGGGAGCTACTATTCTGCTTCAAGCTGTTTGCATGAAAATGTATTTTATAAATGTCATCTGAGGTAAAAGCTAACATCTGACCTTTAAGAATGATGTATATGTACACATACATCGCAACACTAAGGATATCAGTCACCGTAGAGTTCTCATCTGCCTCATCCATTTCCCTCTTGCATAATGTGCTGCTTGAAGAATCTTCATTACTTATGATTAGACTCAGCAAGGAATCTCCCCCATCTGTGGGTTTCACTAGTCTTCCATTTAGCTGTATCCTTTAATGTTTTAGGAATATAAATCCTGCAATACTCCCAGATAAAAGATTCATGAGCAAATCAAACCCCACTGAAGCAATCAAGCAGGCATTCTTGTACCTCAGCAAAAACCGAATCAAAATGTGATTTGTATTTTACTTTGAGATTGTGAGGTACCTGAAGATTTCTCCTACTATACATAACTGTAATTTCATTTCAATAATGTGAAATAAGTACGAGATAACCTGTTCTATGCATATGATCAGATAACATACCTTTCAAAGTATTTCCATCCAATAGGATGTAGCTAATAATTAATAAAATTTTGAGACCACCCCCAAACCTTTGATTGCAGCACCTTTAAATTCAAAATTACCAGCACAGCAAGGAAAACTATCAAGGCATAAGTGACATTTTAAAGAAGGTTTCCCTAAGTGTCTCCTAAATATCAATCTAATAATGTGAAATTTCTGGCTTTAGTGAAGGACACCTGCAACCTAGTTTTCTCCTCCTTGTGAAGATCTATTAAGTGCAGAAGATAAGAAGGTAGACTACTAGCAAGTGGTAGATGGGCCATTTGATCACATGAAGGTACCATCCATTTATGACGTCACATACTTAGAACAAAAACACAGATCCACTTAAAATACTATTTTTAATAAAGGGGTATACAGTTATATTTAGAAAACAACCCCTAAAATGCCACAATACCTTCAACTTAAACATTTTCTTCATTAATGCCATAAGACAATTTAAGAAAAACCTCAGCTCTTAATGTAATATGCCCATTTAAAATATTTAAACTTATAAATATATTGTTAGTTTACAAATAAAATATAGATACTTGTAATTAGGGTAAGCAAAAGCATGCAAATCTATATATTCTATATCTGAATTCCTAGATTAGCATTAAAACCAATCACCGCAACAAATACCTCAACAGTATGCCTTGTGTGCAGAAAGGAAGCGATACTGAACATTCAATGCCACAACTGTAAGGTTTTCGGAGAAGCACCTGTGGCAGTTTCAGCAGTTTCTATATGGAATGCTCCCCCTTTCTAGGATTACTTGAAAAAATCAAGTCAATTCGAATTACGTAGCTGTAAAACATTGACATGTGTAGTTTTTATAGTTTCAGAATCTTCTTTTTGATTTAAAAAAAAACGGGCAATGGTGCATAAAACAGGTAACTTATAGCATAAG